ACTTGCTCCAACAGTTCCATGTCCTTCTGATGCTGAGGACACCAGAACTGTGTGCAGGATTCCAGGTGGGTCTCACAGAGCAGAGCAGAGGGGAAGAATCACCTCTTTGGACCTGCATATGTACCACATGCCAAAAACCAACAGAGTTTTTCCCTGTTACATACCATAGTCACAAGGTTTCCAAACCACTGGTGAGCAAGTTCATGTCCCACAACCAGAGCAACCCACTGGCGAGAGGAAGAGCAGGAGTTTTTGGGGTCAATGAGCAGTGCAGTCTCTCTGTGGGGGAGACAGAAACAGAACTGAGCACAGTGGGATATGCCTGGGGATAAAAAAACCAAAAAACCAACAAACCACAATCAAAAGTAGGTTAAATGACCTAAGCAAGCTAAAAAGTGATCAGTACCACTGAATTAAAAATAAAATTTAAAAAAACCCCAAAAATCAAAAGCTACTTCAGTGTAGGAATTCTTTAGGTAAGTTCCACAGCTGTTGGAAAGCTTTGGAGGAATAATTCCTTGTGGCATGCAAGAAGACAAGAGCAAAAACCCAGGCAGGAACAAGGTTTATCCTTGATTTATCAACCAGCTCACCTATATAACCTAGGAAACCTCAACTGCAACTCCCTTTGCTCTGCAGGATGGATGCACAGCACCTCCTCATCCCTGCCTCCCTCATCCCCAATGGAATTCTGCCTCTTCCAAGGGCACAACCAGCTGTTTACACACAGGATTCTCCACGGGGCAGGCACACACCTTCCTCTACCACCCCCTGCCATCAGCAGGGCTTATAGGGGCTGCCAGAAACCTCTGGAATGCTGCAGCCAAGGGGGAAATGTGCACCTGGATAGAGCTGGAGCCTGCAGAACAAAACCTCCTGTCCCCAGAGGGACAGAGCAAGTGCCCAACTCAGCAGAAAGGGGAGAAAAATGAACAGCACCATTAAGAAAAGCTCCAAAAAATTCTCCTCATCCAGGATAAATATATATCTTTTTCCCCACAGGGAGTAAAAAGATGAGATTTCATCAGGATTGCAAACAACAAATAGATTGGAAACCTGAGCTGGAATTTCTAGTTGCATTTTTAAGGCCGAATTAAAATCCTGAGCAGCAGAAATTCAAACTGGTTTTCAGGCTTTCAAGTGCAAAGCTTACAAGTTGTATGAAATGCAGGCAAGTCATTCTAACAACAGGCAGAGAAAAGGTGATATCATCAAGCAAAAGTACAACAGCTTGATCAGAAGAAGGAAAAACCCAAACTGCAAAGGAAGGCAAGGTCATAGCTGTGATTTAGTCACCTCCACATGGTTATATTGTGGTTCTCAATTGCCTACAAGGTAAAACCAGAAACTCTTCCAGCTGTGTCTGAGAGTTTGTGAGGTTTTATGGGAGGGGGGAAAAAGGGGCCAAGAACGTTCTCCTGCAGAACAGGCAGTGCTGCCAGGCACTTCAACCCTCACACCCTTGGCCAGCAGCTGCTTTTTTGCCTTCCTAAGCTGTGTACAATGCCAAAACTCTCCAACCCAAGCGAGAGTTGAGGGTATTTACTGCGTCTCGTTTGGGAGGATACCCAGGAATTACAACTCCCTACAACTAATCCAATTACTTCCAAGAATTAGTGAACAAAGAGGGGGAAAGACAGTATTTTAACAGCATACCTATAAGTAACAAGGCCCCAGTTCTCCATGGCACCTTTATAAAATAAATACAAAGGTTTATTGATATGGATACACACCTCTTCCTAAAGGTTTCAAATTCAAATACAATACAGTTCAGCAATAAAGTGAGTTACTTTACCAGCAGCAAAGTCTGCAATAGCTATGAGATCAATTTTAGGAAGAGGGTAAGGAACATTGAAGTAGTCCTTATAAAAAGGCAGAGTTTTAGCAGCAACCTGTAAGAAACAAGAGGAGAAATGTTAACTTGGAAACAGGAAAACGTTAACATTTATGGTTGAAACTAACAGAGCAGCACAAAGATTTCTTCCAGAAGCTCCACTCCCAACTTCCAGAGCACAGTGGTTTGGAAGATTCCCATCCCTCTGTTCTCCCAAGCTGTTGCCACCCTCCAGTACCTCTCATCCTCTTTCAGGCCCAAGCTAACATCCCCTGAACCACAGAATATCCTGAGCTTGATGGGACCCACAAGGATCCTTGATCTAACTCCTGCTATGCCCAGGACACCCCAAAATCCCATGAGAGCATTGGCCAAACACTCCTGGAACTCTGTCAGCCTTGGGGCTGTGCCCACTGCCCTGGGGAGCTGTTCAGTGCCCAAACACCTCTGGGGGAAGAACCTTGTCCTGATATCCAACCTAACCCTGTCCCAGTGCCCAAACACCTCTGGGGGAAGAACCTTGTCCTGATATCCAACCTAACCCTGTCCCAGTGCCCAAACACCTCTGGGGGAAGAACCTTGTCCTGATATCCAACCTAACCCTGTCCCAGTGCCCAAACACCTCTGGGGGAAGAATTTTGTCCTGATATCCACCTAAACTTCCCCTGACACAGCTCCTGCTGTTCCCTGGCTCCTATCAGTGATTCCCATTGCTGCTCCTCCACTTCCCCTCATGAGGAAGTTCTATACAGCCAAGATTTCTCCCCTCAGCTCTTCCCACCAGAACTGAGTCACACCATTTCCCTCACTAAACATTGGGTCACACCCAACTGCAATTCTACAGAACCTCAAGCTCAGCCTCTTGGACCCACTAAACCATGGAAAAAAACCCATGAGCTTTGCATGGCTTTAGGTGAGTGCCCAAGAGAGAGGTGTAAGGGATCTCCACTGCCCACCAAGGTGTCCCTGAGCTCATTACCTCTAGTGCAAACTTTCCTTGCTCGGCCTTGCCCACGGGGGTGTAGACGCGCACCAGGACGCCGTCGAGGGACCTTGCTTCCACGAAGTCGTACTCGCCCACCACGAAGGCCACCAGGTACGTGGACATCACCGGGGTGCGAGCGAACTTCACCTCCACCAGGTTCTCGTCGTCCGGGTACGGCTTCCTGTCCACCACGTTCTGGGGCAGCAGCAAGGCACTGGTTAGTGTGGGGAGGGAAACTGGGAGGTATAGGGGGATGGGGTGGGTGTTCCATCACTATGGGGAGGTTAACATACAGGTCAAGTGAAGGGAGGGAAGGTTTGAAAGTGTAGGTCATAGGGTGATGCCCCCACTCTGTCAGGCTTGGGGCCATGACCACTGACCAGGTGTTCAATTCAATGCCCAAACACCTCTGGGGGAAGGAACCTTGTGCTGATATCCAACCTAACACTGTTCAGTGCCCAAACACATCTCGGGGAAGAACCTTGTCCTGATATCCAACCTAACACTGTTCAGTGCCCAAACACATCTGGGGGAAGAACTTTGTAAGAACCTTGTCCTGATCTCCATCCTAACCTTGTTCCAGTGCCCAAACACCTCTGGGGGAATAACCCTGTCCTGATATCCAGCCTGAACCTATCCCAGTGCCCAAACACCTCTGGAGGAAGAACCTTGTCCTGATCTCCATCCTAACCCTGTTCCAGTGCCCAAACACCTCTGGGGAAAGAACCTTGTCCTGATCTCCATCCTAACCCTGTTCCAGTGCCCAAACACCTCTGGGGGAATAACCCTGTCCTGATATCCAGCCTGAACCTATCCCAGTGCCCAAACACCTCTGGAGGAAGAACCTTGTCCTGATCTCCATCCTAACCCTGTTCCAGTGCCCAAACACCTCTGGGGGCAGAACCTTTGTATAGAATATATACAAATTCTAAGCTACATACAAAAAATCTAATCTCTCAGTGCCCAGGCAGCTGGACACATCAGCTGCTGTTCCTCAGAGTCAGGAGGCACCTTCACTTTCAATTCTGAACCAGAAATCATGTGGGCAGGGCCAGGCCAGACTTTACAGGTAACTCTCAACCTTAGCCACTGGAATACAAAGTCTATTTTTAAACTGACCCTTCTCCAGCAACATAACCTAAAAATATGTGCAAGCAGCAAGCTGAAAATGCCCATTTGTATTTGTGACAGAGATACTTCTACCTCCCACATTTCATCCCAGCTCTGGATAGAAATTGTCCAGAGCAGCAAAGCTGCTGATTTATCCCAAGTGCTCCTGGATAACAGCTCTATAAACACACAAAGGACTAGTTTTCCCAGTCACTCTCATCCAGCAGCACATGGCTTGATATCTGCCACAGTTTATTATCACCTTTTTAAACCACCACCACTGTGGCTGACAACCTGTTCAGGTTCTGTGCTGATATCTGACATCACATCTTAGAGCTCTCTCCACTATTTTAGCAACAGCAGCTCTGTATTCTAGCTCTGTTACTCAGACACATTAACCACCATCAAATAATCAGCTGGTGTTATTACAGTTTTACTTAAAATACTGTTTTAGTGTACATTGAGGACTTACCATGTTTGACAAAGCTACTCTGTCTTTAGGAACCACCAAAGAAATATCAAATGTTGCCTTAATAGCAGGTTCATCCCAGCAAGGGAAAGCTCTGCGAGCATCAGTAGCCTGAAAGAAGAGCATTAAACACAGGAATCAAGAGCAAGAAAACACACAAATTCAGCTCAGCTTACAGCAAGAACTGGGTGAGTGGTGCAGCCTCTTCCCTGACACTCCTGACCTCTGCGTTGGAGCATTTCCTTCTCATTTTACTCTTGGTTGTTCACCAAAAAGCAGCTGAGAAGCACTGTGAGCTCTGATGGAATTGTACAGTCCGAGGAGAATTTAGCAGAGTCATGACAGGAGCAAAGCTCAGTCATGTGAAAGCAGAGAGGGCACTCAGGCGTTCACAGGCTCTGCACACACGACCACCTATTTATACCCTGTCAGGAAACTGCTCCTAAAAAACCTTCTATTTGTCCTAGGGAAGTGCTCCATAGCTTTATGTAACCAGGCAGATAACTCTGGAATTACAATATGGTGTAAGATTCTGTCACTATGGTCAGGGTTTATGTAAGAGAGCCAGGATCTGCCTCACGCTTTGGATGGCATTAACATACCGAGATAAAGGCACAGTGTCCTACTAAAAAAAATAGGAATATCATCCAGAAAAGAAAGGTTGGCAGAGGTATTTGACCACAGCTGAACAAAGAGCTGCTCCTGAACACTGCAGCTGGAGCACACCTAGCATACATCCCACACCAGCAGGATCCCTGTGCCACATCCAGGATTCACTGACCTTGAAGCTGCAATGGGAAGGCTGATTTGAGTCTCAGCCACACTCAGAGCAAGAAGCAAGAAAATGTGGAGCTCTGAAGTTTACCCAGAGGGTATAAAGGTAGGAAATTTGCCTCTTCCAAGCCTAAATGCTGTTTGAAAAGCAGATGGCAGCCCATACCTCGAACTGAGTGACAGCAGCATAGCGTGTGTCTCCGGTGGGGGTGGTGTATTTACTCCTGTAGAACCCCTTCATCTTGTCATTCAGCTCCCCAACAAAGTCTATCTTGAGTGTCCCTGTCCCTGCAACACAGACACAGTGGACACTGGTAGGACATGTGTTTGGGGTGCACCTCCAGGCCAGGTGCTGAGCTCCCTCAGCCTCTCCTCACCCATCCCTCCTGTCCCAGCCTCCCTCTCCCTAACCAAACTACACTCCAAAGAACATTCCAGGCAAAGCCAGATGCCCCTCACAGCATTTCAGGATGGACCAGAGGCTGCTGCACTACTCCTTCTCATAGCCAAACACAATGCAACAACCTGGAGAGACCTACCTCGATCCATTCCTGAAGTCCAATCCTTACCTTAGAGCAAAGTTTGTAACAATAAAGGTTAGGAGGAGTAATGGCATCCTAGGAAATCCACTATAAAAGCCAAGATGGAGCTGTGGCTGTGCTCAAGCCTGTAAGTCAATTAGTCTCAGGATTTATTCTTCCATCAATGTCTCAGTGCAAACCTGAGCTGCAGCCAAAATCACACAGAACCAAATGCTCCAGCTGGATCATCCCAGGATCTCCTATCTGTCCTTTTCCAGATGAAATCCAACTGCTTTAGTCAAACTGAGGAGCTGAATTTCACCAGCAGAGTCCTCAGAGGAGCAAGTGTAGCAGTTTCAGAAGAATCCCAGCATTGATGCTGGGATTAACCCTGCAGGAATTCCCATGAGTTCCCTGTGCCCAGAGGGAATCAACCCACCAGGAGGAACAGGAACAGCTCCTGCTTCCCAGCAGCAGGGAAATAACTAGAGCCACCTCAAGTCTTGGAAGCAAATATCACCAGTAGTGAAACACCAATTCCAGAGGCTCCCAAAGCAGTGGACAGACTCCCCAGGGAGCACCACAGCCACAGTCAGATGCTCCAGAGAAGGCAGAGCTGTCCCACTGCAGCTTTTCCAAGTGCAAACACCTTACCCACGGCGTTGGAGGCAGCAGGAAGCAGAAGAAGAACTCTTACCTTTCTGCAGGGTACTGGGAAAGGAGAGAGTAACCTTCTCATCCTCGTTCTGGTAGTTGAAGCCTGTGGCATGTACCTCTGAAACAGAGCACAGGTCACTGTGGTCACAACCAGCCCCAGAGAAAACTCAGAAATATCTCAAATTCACCGATTTGGCCGAAGCCAACAACATGTTGAAGTGATTGAGCAAATCCATGGAGATGTGGAATAATCCAGGCTGATACCAACGTGAGGAACCAAAGGAGCTGGAGTTCCATGGCAGGGAAGCTGCTGCTGTGCCCAGGAATGAAAGCTGAGCTGATAAATTATGAACCTGCAGGGAGAACAGTCTCTGTGCCACACTAGGAATGTTGGGAACTCCTGCTACAATCCTGATGAGTGGTGACATACTGCAGCAAACCTCCCCTCAGCATTAAACACTTCTAGCAGTACATGTTATATTCCTGTTAACGACCCCAAACAGGATGCTTAGGAATTATTCACCTCATTTGTGGCTCTCCCTTTGAAAAGCAAATTAATCTCCACAGCAAGAGGTCGTTGGTATTTAAGGACAGTGAAAATCACAATGTTGATGGTATTTCAAAGTTTCCTCCAGCAGCACAGTCCTACCTGGGAGCTCCTGTTCAAGGGCAGCCCAAATCCACCTCAAAATGCAGCAGTTTAGTATTTACATAGCACTGCAACTATTTGTGGATGCAAACATCCAAACTGTGAGGCCACACTGGGGACAGGGAATCTGTACAGGAATTAAACTATCCTGAAGCTTCAGCAGAGACAGGAGAGAACATCTGATATTGCTTCTTTCCTTCCTAATTCATCAAGTCTCACCAGGTGATGTAGATTGATTCTCCTCCGACCAAAAAGATCTGCAGTAGCTAAGAAAACCTAAATCACAGAGTCATAGGATCAACCAGGATGGAAAATACCTCCAA